TAGAAAAAATTTGTCTAACACTGGAACTTTCAAATTTATTAATAAACTAAGTAAAAAAACAACAAAAGAAGAAGATAATTCGTTACTCTCATGATAAAATTCATTTTTTCACATAATTATAATTGGGAATGAATAAAAATTTTTAACTTTAATAAATTAATATTCATAAAATTTTTTCACAATATTACGTATCACCTCTTTCACTGTACTCTCGTATACGCTTACACATATATTATAAATTATTTGTAGGTTTGTATAAATATTACAAATCTTGTGTTGAATACAATATAACAATTTGTCTAAATCATTAATTGTAACAATATGTTTTGTACTGTGCTTACAAATTAATTAAAAAGAACAACAGAGAAAACCAAATTTTGTCTGGAACCGATTATTAATGAATTTTATTGTTATTATAAAAAAGTTTAACAACTCATATTATTTTAGTAATTGCTAATTAGCAATAAAATAACCCAAATTTAGAATTTATGTTATCGTTTGTAGTCATGTAGAATTTATGTTATTGTTTGAATTTATGTCATTGTAGTAAAAAATTTTCTCATTAAATTTCAGTGAACTCACCGGGTACTTTAAAAAGGGTTATTGCATGTAATAATTAAGTAGTTGTAAATTGTATATTAATTATTATATACCAGCAATCATAATTAAAAAATATCTAGTTAGCTCTAAAAATAATATGAAAATAAATGAAATTAAAAAAAAATTATGAAGTGCCTTTAGTTTTTTTAACATTGAATGTCATAAAAAAATCATTATTAAAAAACTTGATGAAACAATTCTAAAATAAAATAATAATCTACTACTTATGCGATGTAATGATTGTAAATATCATGCTTAGTGGCAAACCAAGTCATTCACAAACAACAGAACAGTATAATTTCTTAGAAGTGTATGACAGATTTTAAATGTTATACATATTTGTTGTAAAATTTTAAATTGACTCATTAGTTGTACCTACATGAAATAATTTCGCTTAAAGAAAAGACAGGAAACAATTCAGAGGTATATGATCTAGAAACATATACAATATGGTGAATATTCTGTTGTACCTACCTTAAACTGGAAAGAAAATTAACAATGGACTTCGTTAAAGATCAATAAAAGTTAATAGGTATGTATGTATAGCTTTACAAATATAAATGAAGACTCATGTTAAAATTATTTTAGATATACATTTGCGGCTGACAAATCAAGGATGAAATACAGATACAGAGACACATACAGGGGTGCTAACAAATAAAGGCAAGTTTCAAAAAATTTATAATTAAATACCCCAAGCCAAAATAAGGCAGTGATAGAGTTAATTGAACTTTAGCACGAATTAAAATATAAATGTAAAGTTAATTGTACTTATTTTTGAAAATTTAACAATTTTTTTTTATGTCAAAACCTCTAGCCAAGATTTTTAAGGCTCATTGTAAGGGTTAATGTGATTTGGCGGAGCTTCAAAAAAGCATTAACGTGAAAATTAATTTTTATTTTGGGCACTCGTTAGTGGCCAGTTAAAAATCTGTTGGACAATATTACCGAATCCAAATTAGGATATTTTTCTTGAAATTTCTTGAAATCTGTTCGTACGTGAGTTTTAATCCACTTTTTATATTATTTTTGTGCTTCGAATTATTTTCTTTTATAATCAAAATTCAGAAGAGTAATTTGACTTCATAATGTTACTCTTTTTATCTATTTTTACCTATTTTTATCTATTTATTTCAAATTCATTTATATAATAAATTATTGTAATAAATATCTGATTAAGAACCTCGCTATATACTGCATACAAACTATAAAAAGCCTTTTTCTATCATACATTCCTATACGATGAAATCTTAAGTACACAAACTTGCACAAAATTTAGCAAATATTTAGAACAAGTCGTTAATGTTGCAATCCAATGTTGTACTTCTTTGTTCTGGAGTACAAATACTATTTCGTATGTAGGTATAGAATGTATGCGTATCAGTTTTTAGTCACTGGTTTTTATCAGTTAAATATCGTGTCTTATTTCCTCATTCTTTCTATTAGAGAACTTATCTAAGTAACTTAATTAAAATGCGTATTTATAGCGTATTTATAGTATTATGACTTGAAATATAATTATTAAAGAGCATTAGTATTATGTTAACAAATAGAAAATGAGTTTGATAAATCAAGCATTTAGTTTAAATTGCACTAATTTTACTTTGCGCTGTATATTATTATAGTAATATACATTACATTTACTGTTAAATTAAAAAGTCACTGAATACATATATTTAGTAATGAATACATACATTTAGTTTCACAATAAAAGTTTTTTGCTTTTTTCTTCTTGTTTCCGCAATAGAATTTGTATTTACAAAAAGAGAAACAGCACTTCCATGATTTTTAAAATTTTAATATTAAGTCTTCTAAATAGCATAATTGTATTAATTTGCTCAGGAAATATTCAAAATGACTGTAACTGAATAAAATTATTTGTCAACTATAATATTAAATTAACAAGTTTTTTAATTATTATTCGCGTCTTACTGCTAAACTTTCGGTCATTCCAAAATTTTTCAGCTAGTGATATATGATGACACTTACTCCCATTGCATTCCGTAATTATCAGAACTGTTGATTTCTGAAGAAGAAATCAACGGTGGCTATTCTGGTGTAGGCCACCTCTATCCTTTTAAACGGGTGTGATTTACGCTGATTTTAGCAAAGCTTTCGACATTTTCAATAATTTTGAAAGTTAACTCATACCTTTATGGTAGAGTCTTTATTTGGGGCTCCTCAGCGCACTCATTTATCAGGGGTTTCTCATGGCAGTCATTTAAGTCCATTGCTCTTGTACCGCCGTTTTGATTTCAGTAGATTATAAATATTTTTAAGAGGATCTGTTTTGTGAATGATACAGCTTCTCTATAGGGTAATCTTGATAACTTTTACAGATCGTGCACTGGCAGCAACTTGCAAATCAAGATCAGTAAGTGTGCGCTAGTGTATTATTCCTGACAAAGACAGCCAATAATTTCAGATTACACCTTAAAAGGTGAAATTCTTAGTAGGGTTGATTAACTTAGACACCTGGGGGTTTGCTTTGATAACAAGTTATCATTTGTCAACCCCTACAACTATGTGACTGGCAAGGTAAGCTTTAATTTAGTAAAAGCTATGATGTAGTTTAGTAAAAGCTGGTCAAAGGAGTTTAATGACTCCTAAATTTTGAAGTCTGTATGTATTCGTCTCTGGTCCCATTTAGAATAAGCCTCAAAGGTTTGGTCGCCCTTTTACAGTATTCATATTTTCAGCATTGAATCAATTTAAAAAATTTTTTAAAGATTTGCGCTTCGTCATCTTATGAGAATAGGCTGAATAAAACTCTTATGTCCTTATGAGATATTGGTTGGCTTATCCACTTTAAGCAAAAAGACGTGGTGTCGTGGACGTGATATTCATTTTTCAACTTATGGAATTTGATTTGATTTCTCCCGAAGGCAGTCGTCTATTCTAATGTTAGCTCTTGTCTCCAGATCTTTTTGTAGTTCTGGTTTATAGAATTGTGAGAAACATAAATCCGTTGGTAGAATTATGAATCTGTTATGAATTTTAGTTAGCACTTACAAAGGACAAGTCAGAAAAGTTATCTTTGCTTATAGTTTATTTATTAATTTCTAAGTGATATCAATTTAATTAATTATACATGCATTGTAATTTTAGAATATCTGTAACCTTCTATTTGGTTTAATATAATTTTTAGTTTAAAGTAAGTCAAAATTTAAAATTGATTTAATATATTGTACTATGCTTGAGCTTAGCATGTGTTAACTTGTTATGTGTAAGAAAGTAAATGTGTCATATATTATACATTAGTTTCACAATCCTGGTCTTATTAATAGCTGCGGTCATATAGCACGAATAATAAGAACTTCTCATGGCCAACCACTACTCTCGGGACTACGTGGAAACCTTTTTATAAAGCTAATAAATATTCACCCACGTTCTGTATTTCATTTTATAATGCAAAAATTGTGAAAGTAAAATTTCCTGTTGGGTAATCTGGTCGCAATAGCATTTGTAATATGAAGTTTCGAATATTAACATTTCAAAATGATTACACGGTCCGCGATAGATAGATTTAAAATAATTCGAAAAGCTATTGTTAAATGATGAATGAATGCAGTAAGATGAATGCCTAGATTTTTAGTAAGATAAATGCCTATAACGGTATAATAATGCTTATAACAAAATGAGAGGTTTGTGGTATTGCATGAAAGATATTTTTCTAAAATATCTCTTACAAAATTGAAAAAAACTTGTTTACAAAATTCACTTTATTCATCCTTCCATGTGCCCGTTTCTGTCTGTTAGAAACCTCTTTACCAACTGCCACAATTTTTTTTAACTAAAACGCAGAACACTTAAGAACCCTAAAAACGCAGAACAGTAGTGACGATAGGTTCAACTAAATATTAACAAAAGTAAAAAACTTTTGTTTTTATAATTATTACTATAAAATATTGATAATATTTTATATTAAAAAAAACAAAAGTAAAATATGAAAAACATTTATTTCAAACGTCGAATTTTACCAGCAAATTAACATTTCTTCCCCCGAAAAATATGCAATATTTTCTTCTGGTATAACAGCGAGAATAATTTGAAGTATTTTGCAGAACTTTGAAATCCAAAGTCAAGAAAAATAGGATTTTATAGTGCTATGTGATATAAATTATTTTTTTCCCAAAGAGAATTTGAACTCGATGTTGAACTTAAAACCCTTTAGTCTATTCGAAGGAAAAAATAAAATAATCCCACAAATATTCGCAAGTTCCGATGAGAACTCAAACTGTTTGCTCAGTACAAAAGTATATATTATATTTGCGCACACATTTACGAATTGTCAAAAAGTAACACAAAAAGTCTCAAACAGGAACTTTTGTTGTTTAAGTGCACACAAATATTAGGAAAAACCTAAAAAAAAATTAAAGAAAAATAGTTCATAAACTTACCAAAAACGATAATTGAAATAAAGGTATAAGATCCTTTCGGTTTGCTTATAATTTTTTGTAGTTGCAGGTACTATACAAGTACACAGCTCTGAAAGTATGCTATATATTGTACACTATTGAAATGAAACTTTCCTTTTTCTATCGAAATTTTAGTTTAAACAAATTTTTAAATAAAATTTGCAATATTTATAATTATGGAAAATCACTAAAACTCTTTGGGTAAGTGTGGATGTAATTAATTCAACTGTTAAGTAGTATTATATTTGCACTTAAAAAATTGTAATTTATTTTTTGCAATGACAATAATCATTTACTAATATTTATTTTAAAATTTCACTTCACTGGTTTCATTCTAACTGTTAGAAATATTTTTTATTATTCAATGTTGTATTAATGCTAGAAATAATTTTGATGTAATCCTTTATGCTATGCTTGAGTGTTTTTAGTTAAAATCATGCACTGAAATCAATTTTAGTATATACAAACATAGATACTTTGAATTTAATTATTTTTTTTATTTTTTAAAGACACCAAACATTAAATTAATTGTTAAATTAATAAAAGATAACAAAATAGGACGAATTTAAATCGATGTTGTTGTTTATTATCAACAGCTTCTTTATAGTAATTTAAGGTTTATGCCCTTTTATTTATCAAATTTTTTATTATTATTATTACTTTTCCGGCAGAAATTTGTAGACCCAAGTTTTCATATTATAAGAATTATATTTAAATAAAAATTTAGAAATACGATCATAAAATCAAATAATATTTATTATTTACTAATTTTTTAATAGCTAGCCTTTTTATGTGTGATAAAATAATATGAAAGATTAAAATCTCAACTTCTGCAGTTATATTTGCTATGACTTTTATAATGTGCACTTTCATTACAAAATCAATCAATGAGTTGAGAATTCAAAATAAAATATTTTGCAGTTATATGCTATTAAAATTTTAGAATACTAAAGGATGCAAAACAGGGTTCTCGTAAATATTTAAAGAAATTAATATTCTTTTCTATTTTCTTACAAGCTTCACATTAATTTTTCAAATTACAATATATTATTCGCATCCTGATTTTATGTTTCCTTTAATTTATTTTAAACTTTATAGATATTGTTTTTTTTTTATAATCTCTCTGTGACTCAGAATTCAAAAACAATTTTTTATTTGTATATGCGACAGATAAATTTTTTCTGAAAGATTTATTTTATTTATAAATTTTACTTTTTTACAGAATATCCATACATTAATACAGCAATACACAAAAACAAAACAAATTCAATTCCAATTTTTACTCTTAATAAAAAAAAAATAACATCGGCGTCAATTACATACAACGTGATCTTAGAATATTCGTACCGAATGAACGTCACTTTAAAACTGATTGTATAGAATTAACTACGCACCTATCCAATTGAGAAAAACAACACAAAAAAAAGTATATAAAGCAAGGTACGATAAACAACAACAATATTCAAATACATATTCAAAAAATAACAAACATTTCCTAGCTTACCATAAAGAAAATCATATAAAGCCCGTTAGACTTACTAACACTTATTTAAAAAATTATGAAAAAACAAGTTACACAACTACATTAACACTTTAGTTTTTGCTGTTTTATTTTTGTTTTTTGAATAAAAATAAAACAGCACTAAATAACCAACAATTCCGTAGATTTCATCGTACACACACACCTTTTGCATTTGCTTTTATTTTTCACTTTTATGTACACACGAAAAATAATAAACTGTCAAAATAAAACCAGTATACAAACAAATACAGAAATATCCATATACCAATAGTATATAAATCAAAAAATAAAAAGAAAAAACCAGTTTTTTATAGTCTCACTCACAAATTCATAATATTTATTTTGAAAATACATAAAATACATAAGAAAAAGAATTTCAATCGATATTAACATTTTTCTTTTAACACTAAGAAGGCATTCATAAAATTTCAAATTTTCCATGCATGCAAATATATCCGTCTCGCTCATATTATCGATTTTTTGTGAAAACAAATCAACAAACCACTGTTAAATGCACCCACATTACTATCCTACTACCAAAGCCAACAACAACATTCCTTCATCATTAGTCAATTCTTTCATAACTACAAATGCCACTTTCAAAACTTTTTTAAAGAAAAAATTCTTTTTAATTCTTCTGCAAATAAAATAAAAATGAACAAAAAAAATGCTTGTCTCTCTCTAGCATTTCAATATCTATATTTGTAAAACACGAATAAACTAAACAATTTTTTGATTGTATTGTATGTTTGTGTTTGTTTGCTTGATTGACATGCGTTCTAATATGAACGGCATAATATGCTCTACGAACTATGAGTAGGATGGGCTTTTCCTACTGGGTGAATATTTTGTATTTTTTATGTACTCATAAAACAACATTATTTTGATTTCAATGGGGTACCTACATATAAGACGAAAAATTCAACAATTCTTATATACAAACACATATATTTCTTAAATATAAAAATAAATATAGGATGCGTGTTTTTATGTACATTCATATTGCATTTCGAATGCCAGAAGAAGACAAAAAAAAAACAAACCACTCCTCTAAAAAACTGATCGCAATTGTACAACATTTTGTTTTTTTGCTGAAACGAAAAGTGTAAAGATGAAAAGCGTTTTTAAAATTTTCGGAGATTCCAACGAGTAGTATGTGAAAACGAGATGGAAAAAGAATTAAAGAGTAAAGAAAGAAAAATGTGAACGACTTTTATAGTTATTTTTTTCCTTGCCTTTTGTATTCGTTTTTTTGTCTATTTGTTTTTTTTATATGTCGCCTGTTTTTATTAGGGGAATTATTTTATGCGTATATGTATATATCTGGATATGTGATGCAAAAGTAAAATGGTTACATAAAAAAGAAAGAATAAGGAAAACAGAAAAATGTTGTTTAATAAAAAATATTTTTTTGGCCGGGTCCTTTAGTTCTTACCTATATTTATTTAAGTTTGATTAAAGAGCTCCCTTTCTATCATAAAAAAAAAGTTAAATAAGGGAACGGAAAATATGTCAGTATAAGTGTTTGTGCTTATGTATGTAAATGTGTATGGAAATAATGTGTAAAGTTGTGTAAAGGATATTCTAATAATATATTTATGTTTCTATTCCTTTTACATTTCGTGATACATTTCACTACTTGTGTATTCCCTTATTTTTTTAAGTAGAAGGTTGATTTTTTATTTGAAAAAATTTGAGCAGACAACGTGAATTTTTAATTTTTCGTCCATTTCGAAACGAAATAATTTTCTTATTAATTTTTCTATATAAAATTTAATTTGCAGTTTATCGATATTTATGTATACAAATAACCAAATAAAAAACTACGCATGAGCCGATATTTTTGTATGCGTAGTACTCTTATTATCTCTCTTTTAAGGGATAACTTACTTTCATCGATTTTCACCTTACAAAAATATTCTATAATTAATTAGTAAAAAAATTTCGAAACGTCTTCAGTAATGTCGTGTAACGCAGCTTTTTTACAGGCGCAATTTTTTGTTATTTGCCCAAAAATTATGAATCAAATTTTCAACGCTATAAATTAATGAAATTAGTGAATTATTAAAACATATGTACATGTAATTTTAATATAACAATAAGCTGACAGAAACCTTACACTTATTATGAATTTACTCTCCAGGGTGTTCATTCAAACAAAAGCTAGTCTCAGATAATTTTGGCTTTAAAAATATTCTAGCAGCTACTTAACTTCCAAAAATGCTTCCTCATTCAGATCTGGTTATTTTTAGAAATTATTTATTAATGTTAAAAAATATCGTTTCTATAAGCAAAAGCAGTAAAAATTCGCACATGCATGCTGCCTCTATTTTATTTACGATATAATTAGCCAGACAAACAAATATTATCTAATAAAATTTATATATTGTAAACTGTTTGCTCCTGAAAATTTTTTACTAAAAATTTTTAATTTGTTCTAAATATCTTATATACATATACTATTTGCATATTGTATGTTCACATAATTAATAATTAATAATCTTATATATGTAAGAAAATTGATTAACAAACAAACAAAATTGAATAATGAGGCTGCTTTTATCTTAATTTTCATTAGCCCTATATATGTATATACAATTTCTTTTTTCGTAAAATTTTAATTTCTTTTTAATTAAATGAATATATTATAAAATTATAATCTTATTTAATTCAATATTTTTCGCAGACTCGCTATTCCGGTGGCGCATGCTTTAAATCAGTATAATACGCAATCTATTACAGATGAATGTATTGCCGTAATATTGTTATACTGTTACTTTCAAAAATTTGTTGATTAGAATAATAAAACTGTGTTTACGGTTAAATTATAAATCATGATGGAATATAGATGTGTGTGTATGATCTAGCATTACTATAAACCTACTGTTAAAGTCATTTGAATATGAAAGACATGACTACATGAAGAGGAGATTATATGTGAATTAAAAGCGCAAAAAAATATATATATCAAAATAAACACACACATGTATTTACGAAAAAAAAAATAATGTAAACAGTAAAATGTAAACAAAGAATTTTCACATTTTTTATAGAAATTCAAATCTGGATTAATTTTTTTTATTATTGTTTTTATTGTTATATATTTAACTTGTAGTTTTATTTCTAATTGTAAATTATTTCAATTATTGTTAGAATATTAATTGAATCTGATTTAGGATAAAAATAAATTGATATTATTTATATAATAATAGTTGTTAATTAAGAATTATGTAAAATTAACAATAATTTATTAGATTTCAAAAAATTATTTAATTTTTTAAAAATAATTCTATAATTATAAATTGATTATCCATATCAGTTGGTAAATTGTTTTATAATCAATAATGAAAATTTTAATCCAAGAATAAAAATTCTCATACAATTATTAAGGTGGAATAATGTTGATTAGGGCTGAATTTTCTTTTTGTGTCTGTCGTGTCTATATGCATATGCATAAGTTATATAGGTATGGTTATACTTGAAAGCTTAAATAAAGTATAGTCCTCGAACGTATAGTATGTGATATTTTTCAATTTATTGTCTTCATAATTTATGCATTCGTATACTGAAGTGCCAAGAAAATAAAAATTATCACAAAAGCTCATATCTGAAACCATTTCTTAAATTATGCATAGTTAGGTTTTTAGAATTCATTTGTCTGCTACTTTAATCATTCTAAATTTAACATGAGTTTGAAAATTTCTAAATCAAAGTTCCCATAAATATGCAACCATTATACATTTACATGTTGGAGTACATATCCCAATTTAAAAAGCAATTAAAAGGTAATTTATTTAAAAAAAACTTCGTTTTCTTTTACATTTCAAAATCTTTATTTTTCTTACTTTTAAACTTCTGCAGTAATATTTCACAATTTAGTTTTTTGTTATCATCACAAATTCAAAAGATGTCGCTGAATTGTAAATTTTTTTTGCCCTGCTATTTTTTTTCACTTTAACTCATTTAAACACTAAATAGTATATATGTATATATTAAGTTTTATTAATAGCTAGATGGCGCTATGAAATAATTTTTTTATGTTTTGGTTTAATTAAAGTATTTTACATTAATTAACGTAAAAATTAAATTCTTTTATATTTTTTGTTTGCACGATTAAAAATCTGTGAACACAAATATGCATATATGCTTTGATAAATATGCATATACATTTATATAAATGTGTATAAGTATGAAACAATAAAAATAAAAGTTGAGGAATATTAATTGAAAACATTTTGTTTCCACTTAATTAAGTTGGAATTTTAAATCTTATATGAAAAAAGTAAAATAAAACCTACTAAACTAGATATAACAAAAAAACATGGCGAATGAAATTTAGACAAAATGGAATTTTTCTCAAAGAAATAAAAATCAGTTAACTTATATAAATATAAACGTACATATCTTTGATATTAAAGTTATATATACGTTATGTATGTATGAATGTTTCCATATTAAAATACACGATTCGTCTGTGTATGGGATTGTTATTTAAAAAAAAGTATTTACATAAAAATGCATATTCATATGTATATGTACACATATAAAATATAATTGGCTGGATTTAAACGTGTACGTATATGTATGAATATTTGCACATAAATACATATGTGCTATAAACATTTTTGGACAAATCTATTTTTGAAAATATTATTTATTGGTAATTAATTAATATTAATATTAGTTTTGTTGAACATTTAAATAGAAAGCGGCTATAGAATGATGATAAAATTTTATGCTTACATTAAAAGATTTCTAATATTTCAGTTGCAAATTTTACTTAATTAACCCTACAGGTGTGTATATCACAAAGAATAAGGTTTATTATGGATTTTAAATGTCTTTGCACAATTTTTCAATACTCTGTCAAAATGCAGAAAATAGTTTCTTGTCTTATCATACGGCAACGACATATCTGAATTTTGGCAAGTCGATCTCGATACTTTAAAAATGTACTTTTGTACTCATAGTTTTCAATCAAGTACAATCGTCAACTTCGACAAACTATAAGCAATGATAA